CAGAGCTATATATATATATATATATATATATATATATATATATATTGGCAGATTAAGTGTATAAATGGATGTCAGAGAGTATTGTGTGACTTTACAGACAGTCATGTGTGTGTGATATCGTGTTGTATTCGTGTCCAGTGGGATTCCTACGGTTCCTGGAGCAGTGACTCTGAAGAAAGACTCACAGAACCTGATTGGGATCAGTATTGGGGGCGGAGCTCAGTTCTGCCCGTGTCTCTACATCGTACAGGTCAGACATCCACACTCCATCCTCATCCTCTCAATCAATGCGTCACATTCAATAATAATGGCGTGGAGTTATTAGAAGCTATAAAAACGTGTGGTTTTTTGTGTTTGTGCAGTTTCCATTGTTTCCGCACACTTTTCAATTGATTCCACACATTTAAGTTTGAAAGTTACTGAAGATTCGTGACTTTTGAAACGTTCGAGCACGGATTTCAAACACAATTCAGCATAGTAAATGAGACCCGGTGTCTTTATCTGCTCAGTTTTACCCAGATAAAATAGTCTTTTTGCGTATGACGTATATAAGTATTTGAATTGTGTGATTGTGAAAGGATGCAAGTATTTTTGATTATTTTGTGAAATGCACAAGAACCAGGTCAAATGTTGTTGCTGTTGTTTCCTTGTTAAAGTGCATCAGTCTGTTATAAAATATGCTTTCCAGGGTTTGAATTTGTTCTTTTTTAAATTAATTTGGAATAACATGTCTTAAATTCATAATTTTATTGTATCAAATGTTGCATGAGAGAATACAGTGTGTTATCATGTAACTTTTTGCAAAATACATTAAAATAAATAAAAATGTAAAATACATTTTTTTTTTTTAAATTGGACGTTTTCATTTAGATGGTTTTAATCTTAAAATCTTAAATGGATCTCCATGAATCCTCACAGCCGTGTAGTGTAGCATCAGCTGTTTTGCCTGTCGTGAATGTGCCGGTCTGATGTACTGAAGCTCAGTCGAGGAGATTTCTGTGTGCTCAGGTGTTTGATAACACTCCGGCCGCTCTGGACGGCACTCTGGCCGCCGGTGACGAGATCACAGGAGTGAACGGCAAACCGGTGAAAGGAAAGACTAAAGTAGAGGTGGCCAAGATGATCCAGGCAGTGCAGGTACAACTCTTAAAACAGCAACTCAAGTCAAATCATGCCAGCTTTATTTGTGGAGCTGTTTTTTTCACAGTTTTGTAATGTCATTGTTTCTGATATCTTAATGTCTTAAAGTCACATTGAGCCGTTCAGAGCTGGATGATTAGACTGTTTACATGTGGAGCTGATATAAACAACAATACACACTAGGGGTTGAACGACTTCTGATTTTTTGAAGTCGACTTTTATGTGATGAAAGTCGAGTCGAAGTCGACTAGTCGCTGATGACGTCATTAATGAACAAATAAGTCTGGAGCTGAGACAAACACCTTGTGCACAGCTATGGCATATGACACAGCGCTGCCCACACGGCTGTTGCTCCTATAACAGCTTTTTTTATCAGTTCTTGTCTTTGGGTCGTTATATTTCTCACAGATTTCTGCTCATTCTAAATCAGATACAGATAAAGCAGCACAGTAAAGATTACATTAATATGAATGCATTAGTGAGAGCGATTGCGTGTCTAAATTAATTCTACCTGGCAGCATCTCTCTACTAGTAGCGAAGCTGTGGAATTTAGTTATTAGGAAATATATGCTTGCACTTTTCAGTTTCAAAGCTATTTCATTGAGAAATCACAGAACAGTGTAAACTGCAGGCCGACCCGAAGCAGGGCAAATCTCTGGATATCGGTAAAAACTCTCAAACTATACTAGCTTAATGTGTTTGAATGGATGCAGAAGTGATGACGTAGCTCATGTGTGTGTTTGTGTGTGTGTGTGTCAGTGCTGAAGAAGGTGAAGCATCGTCTGGTGGAGAACATGAGTTCAGGAACCGCAGACGCTCTGGGACTCAGCAGAGCCATTCTGTGCAACGGTCAGATCATTCCCAGTGTTTCATCACGAATGCATTACAAACACTGGTTTCTGCACATATTAAAGACGCTACAACAAGTGACTGCAGTAGCAGACTCATAAATGCTTTACAATCTAACTTATGAATCATTATTGCACATTGTAGTAATGAGAAAGAGATGTGTTGCATGACAGAATCTTTGTTTGGGAGCAGAGTACTGACAGGTTCATGTGAGGATATAATCACGTGTCTGTGTCTGTGTCTGTGTGTGTGTGTGTGTGTGTGTGTGTGCAGATGGTCTGGTGAGGAGGCTGGAGGAGCTGGAGAAAACGGCTGAGCTTTATAAAGGTGATTCTTTCATACTGTTACTGCATTAAAACAATGACAGAGAGTTTAATCTGGAAGTAATCTGAGTGTTTGTGTGTGTTTAGGACTGATGGAGCACACGAAGAGACTGTTAAGAGCTTTCTATGAGCTCTCACAGACTCACAGAGGTACAGTAGATGATTCTTTGATCCACGTTCATAATATGATTCATTATAAGCTTCTATAAAGTGTTTCAAAATGTTCATTTTTAGTAGTAACACCAACTGTGACCAAGAAAACACTCTATAAATCATCAGATGTGTGATACAGTGTTTGGTTTTCTCTCTCAGCGTTTGGCGACGTGTTTTCCGTCATCGGCGTCCGTGAGCCGCAGGCCGCCGCCAGCGAAGCCTTCGTGAAGTTTGCTGAAGCTCATCGAAACATGGAGAAGTTCGGCATCCAGCTGCTGAAGACCATCAAACCCGTGAGAGACCAGATCTGAAATGAGTTTACACAGAGACTGAAAGTAGAACAACTAAAAATGCAATGAAAACACTACAGCTTGCTAAATAATGTGCGTTTGTCTGTCAGATGCTGCATGATCTGAACACGTATCTTCACAAAGCCATTCCAGACACCAAGCTCACCATCCGCAAATACCTGGACGTCAAGTTTGAGTACTTGGTATGAGAACAGCAATTAGATTCACTCATCATAGTCTGTTGATATGAGATGTTACATTAACAGAGGGATTTTGAGAACATTTATTGATGCGTGTTTGTGTTTCAGTCGTACTGTCTGAAGGTGAAGGAGATGGATGATGAAGAGTACAGCTGTATCGTGAGTTCACTCACTGTCCGTTCATCATTTACTAATTAACTAACCAATACCAGACTGCTCAAATCTGCTCGAGATCATTTGACTCTTAATATATTGTTACTGTTTAAACCTCCTTAACACATTTACTGATTATAATGAGTGTTTTGGAGGTGGAGGATAGAGTTCAGCGTTGAACTTTGACCCTGATGCAGTCCTTCACACTGATCAGGAATATTTTTTGAAATAAAAAAAAAAACGCTGAGTGACATTAAAATGCATCCTACCATTTTAGATTGAAAATTTAATAAGCATTATTTTTAATCTCCATTTTTGCCATCTGATGCCAAAATGCCTCATTTACAAAAGATACACAAATTTGACTTTATTACTGATAAAAATTTGAAAATAAAAACAAATGCATTTACATTAAGTGAATAAGTGCACCCTAAGATTTTTAGATTTTTGTAATATGTAATTTTATTTATGTATTATTGGTGTTAAATAAAGCGTTAAATAATGTTTGCGTGTGTTTCAGGCGTTGGGCGACCCGTTGTACCGCGTCAGCACCGGTAACTATGAGTACCGCTTGATTCTGCGCTGTCGACAGGAAGCTCGCACACGTTTCGCCAAGATGCGCAAGGACGTTCTGGAGAAAATCGAACTCCTGGACCAGAAACACGGTGAGTTGAGGAGAAATGCAGCAGAATACATGATCTGTTTTATGTCGTTTTAACCCTTTCCATTCCCTCTTCAGTTCAGGACATCGTGTTCCAGCTGCAGCGCTTCGTCTCAGGCATGTCACGCTATTACGACGACTGCTACGGCGTGCTGAAAGAGGCCGATGTGTTTCCCATAGAGGTGGATCTGTCCCGCACCATGATCAACTACAGCGGACAGAGTCTCTCATACGAGGACGAGGAGGAGGAAGAGACGGGCAGAGGAGGAGAGGAAGACGCTCCGCAGGCTGAGAACGGAGCCGAGAAACTCATCGACGACGAGTGAGTGAGCGAGCCAATGAATGAGTGAATTATCAGGTGAAATAATAAAAGAAAGGAATGTGACGGATCGCATTGTCGCTGAAAAAAACTACACATTCTACAGATGAGATGCGTGTGT